ACCACTACCTTAAAGTAAAGTTCCTAGTTTGGGAAAAAAAGTGATGTACAGAAAGAGAATATGGCGGCCAAAACTGCACTTACATAGCTGGAAACTAAAAATACAGTACCATCATGGCTTCTAGTGTAGTCTTTCTTAATCTCATCCTGAGCAAGATCACTCAGCGCAGACGCTTAACAATATTTTTGCATCAAAGAAACCAGTTCAAACATATTTTAGTTTCAAGAAATTCAGAGTATCAGCCTTACCTCTAGAAACCTTGGCTGTTGGTTCTTGCTCTCCTGTTGATTAACCCAGATGCCATTGACATCATGTTCTTCATGGAAGACCAAAATAAAGTGTTTATCCAGTGTTTAAACTAGGGCCCATCGCATAGAATCATTAAGTCCTCTTTCCTGAACTTCTCCCAGACAAAAGAAACAGGATACCAGTATGGTACGCTCCCTGATTACTTGAAATACAACTTATTCCAGTAATTTTAAAGGACGGTCAATAAATACAAATATATTAAGGCTTCGCCGTAGCCATTACTATCACTACAGCGTGCATGAAAGACATATAAAGTGCCAGACAAAAAAAAAAGATATGAACTTTATAAAATATATGAAGGAGAAAAAAAAAGATATGAACTTTATACAAAAAGAGGACAAAGACCTTTGGCTCCCTTCATTTAATAGAGCGAGGAACGCCAACAATAACCAACCACTCAACTTTTTTTATTCATTATTTATTTTTTTCTTCCTTTTGTGTAACCTCTCTCCCCCCTAAGCACTTGCTATTAAACAAGAACGATTATGGGCCATTAAAAAAGCTACCGTGTGATCAGACCTGCATTCTAGGAGCACCAGGTCACCATTTGATTTGCCACCAGGAACAGGTGTTTGATAGCTTCAAGTCTGCTCGCATTATTACAAAAGGCATAGGGTGTTGACCAAAGGTTTTTTTTTATTTTTTACAATATTTATAACAATAAAAATATTTTTTTTGCCTTCAAAATAAATAAAAAGAATAAGCTGTTGGAAAAGAGTATTTCAGATTTTCTTCAATTTTTATGTACTATACAAAAGCGCTTTTAACTTTAGAAAAATGAAGTAGTTTGTGTCTTGTATTTTTATCAAATCCAACCACTTTGAGTCTAATAACAACGTTAAATTCACGCTACTTCTTTAACTAGCGTTCGGTCTGGCGCTTACATGAGATGTAAGCACGGCTATCAAACTTAAAGTGCTTTGATGTGACAATGATTCCTGGATTTAAAATACTGAGGTCTGCCATGATGACAGTGGTGACTCACAATCTGTCAACGCAATTAATAAAATGATCCAGAGGAGAATGATAAAAAGTTTGATTTTTTTTATGTAATAATAAGCTATGTGAATGTACTTGGATTTGCAAGAGAAAGAAGCTCATGCTATTTGGTCGAAACACATTTAAATTGAGAAAGAAGCTCATGCATGCTATTTGGTTGAAACACATTGAAAATGAAAGGCAAAAGGAAATTAATTTTCACTAGCTCTAAGATTATGAGCAGGAGCTCATTCCTTGATAGCTAGATTCCACTTTGATCAACATCAGCCATTTTCATGAGAGAATTTTCCAGTAAGCGTTGCTCGTGCTGTGACTGTTATTGGCGGTGGTCCTTGAGGCGCTGCTGGTGTTGATGGAGTCGCTGCTGTTGATGAATGGTGGGTGGAGCATGGAGAAGGAAATGAAAAGGAAATTTTGTAGTGGCTTATAGCTGCACTCTATTAGTTAAAAAAAAAATTAGGTGAAGATATTATTATTGTATGATGCGTATAATATTTTAAAAAAAATAAAATTTAATAGATAACTAATAAGAAAAATTTTCAGAAAAGAGCCGCCCTAAAAGACAAGGAAAAATAACAGAGAATATATCTATATATATATATATATATATATAATTAAACAGACAAGAGAATTTATTAACAGCTTTTCCAGTTGCCTCGAAAAGAAGGAAAGATTTGGTACGCATCTTTGAGAATACATCTTCCAAAAATAAAGTTCATTTTCCATTTTTCTTTTTGGAAAAATAGAATAATACTCCTAATTCCTCGCATCTTTCTTGAACTGGGTGTAAAGGAACAGGGAAGCGTTATTTTCCAATAAAAAAATATAAATTTGTGACTTGATAATGATATTGAATAATCCAATAAAAAAACTTAAAAAAACTAAGAAATTCAATTATCAAGTAATTTAATATTAAAAAACAATAAAAAAAAACTAAGTTAAACAAGTTTAATCCATTAACATCATAATCATAGACATAACATTGAGATAACTCAATAAAAAAAATCACAAAAATAAATTCTTAATTAATCAAATACTAAAGAATGAAACTGAAAGAAAAAAATCAATTACTGAAGGATCTTATTTAACAACAAAGTAAAAATTAAATGAGAATGCAATAACCTCATAAAAAACAAAAAAAATATAAAACTCAATTTTAAATAAATAAAATATTAAAAGATAAAATTAAAAAAATATACAATTAAAAAAAGGTCAAAAAACCCAACATGAGCCCTCTAGTTCAGCATGCAGAATTTACAGCTTGATCATGATATTGAGATAACCCATGATGTTCAATTATCAAATAATTAAATGTTGAAAAGAAAAATTAATTCAATTTAAGAAAAAAATAAAAAAATAGAATCAACCCAAGTTAACCTGGTGACCCTATTCTATGAACATAAGATTGAGGTAATTTTATAGAAAGAAAAGTAAAAAAAAAAAAAAACAAAGACCAATCTCCAATAAATCACACATCAAAGAATAAAATTGAGAAAAATCATAATTTTTTTAAAAAAAACCTTAGTTAACTTGTATTAACCTTTGAAACTCGTAACACGAGTCATGAGTCCAGGACTAATCTCATAGAAAGCAAACCCTAAAAAATAACAAAATAAAATTTTCAATTAATAAAATATTGAGGAATGAAATTGAAAAAAATACAATAATAAAAGGTTCCAAAACAAAACAGATAACAATAAAAAAGAATGTTACTAAATCTAATATGAAAATAAATGAAAATCAAATATTATAGGGTGAAATTGAAAGCAAAATTAAATTAGAAAAATGATCAAAAAATTCAATAAAAATAAAAATCAAATTTGATATAGAAATTAAACAAAACCAAATGATAGCGAATGAAATTGAAGAATTAATAAAAAAGCAAAACAAATAATTAAAAAAAAGGTTCAAATTGGTTACAAAAAACAAATCAGAGAACACCTTTATATTTTAACGAGAGAGACAGAGAGAAAGAGAGAGAGAAATCCATTAGAGCCCAATCATTGTACCACCATTCATGCACGTTATACCTTCGAGAAAACCACACTGATATACTTCTAATGTTGTAGTGAAAGATGATATTTGACCATAAAACAACGCTTTAAGTGTCATTTAAAAAATACTAGTGCTAACCATTTTTGTTTTTAAAATTATATGTTATATTTATGAAAGCATAAAATTGCCCCTCAATCAACTTGATTATAATTAAAAAAAAAATAGAAATTACTAAAAATAAACACTAAAAGAAAGTTAATTTTTATTTTGTTTTTAAAGATAATTAAATCATTTTATTTACTTAAAAAATGTAAAAAAACCTTGTTGCCCTCCATCAATCCAAAAATGATTAATGGGTCATGGGAAAGAAATTTTACCTTTAATAACAAGTTCATTTTTTTTAAATGGCAAAATAATCATTTTATTATTTCAATTCGCATAACATTTGTCTTGATATATAGTAAAAAACTAAATACTTATAAATTTATTTGTAATATTTTATTCATAACATTTTTATTATTTAATCTGACTCATCATGTTAAAGTCAAATAATATGAATATTACAAATAATTATGGAAAAAAAAAAAAACAAAAATTAAGTGCAGGTTAAAGTTTTTAAAACCCATCCAACCCAACCTATATAACTCAATGTAAATAACATTAGTTCTTAGCATAAATAATATGTCCCTACTCTCTTTATTTTGTTTCTTCTTTTGTTATCACATTCACAGCCACCTCATGTTCTCTTAATCTTTTTTTTCGTATTTTCACATAAATTATAATGATTCATTTTGAAGTTTAAAATGATAAAATTACAAAACATTTTACAATCTTAATCTTTTTTATTTGATAACCAAGAAACCATGAGACAATAGATGAAAATTCAAAGAATCCATGTTTAACTTTTATTTGCTTAGCAAATCACAAATTCAAAAACACTTTATAGTCTTTACATGCTAATTTCTCTTTGTATCATATAACACTATACTATTTGATAAAATATTTGATTGTAAATTGTATTTTATTTTTTCATGTGGAAATTATGATAGTTTTTATTGTCTCTAAATCATGCATTTTATGTCTTTTTTAGTTTTACTACTTGCAACCCAATATTTATTTTAGAATAATAAGAAAATTAATATGTCCAACATGTAAATATTTATAATATTCATAAGATATATCCAACTCGTTCATGTCAAAAAAATTACATAAATTAAATTTATATTTATAAAATATCAAAAATTAAATTGGATATAATTATGGGTCAACACCAGACCCCCAATATTCAAACCACATTTTTTTTTATATTGCTCTTTTGTTAAATCTAAACTGGTTAGAGGTACTGTTGATATGTCTACGATTCTACCATGCCTTCTGTCATCATCTCATATTATTTGCCTTCAAATTCAGCTCTACATCGGGGATCGCCAAAAAAGATCTCAAAACTGATTTCTTAGATGACCTTGTGTAATGGCCAGGTGAACACAAGGAGTCTTTCAACAAAGAGACTCGCAAATGCCATGCTATTACTTCGACCCAATGAGTGTTAGCCTCAGTTGAAGAGCTGTTTCTGTTATCATTTACGCACCTTGTTATGCTTAACAGCTACCTCAACAGCTGAAGCCATTACTCAACACCAACTGGAAACATCTGCAAGTGTTAACATCAATAAGAGGCATGGCACGCTAGCACAATCATTTTCATCATCAACAAGAGTTATTCAAAGTTCTTGGATTGAATAAAGCTACCAGGGAGAGGAGCATTATGCAGATATGTTAGTCATGTGTTCTTTAAAGAATAAGCTATGTTATTCTGTGTTCTTCGAAGAATAAATCACTAAAGAAATCCCTTTTTTTTTGTTTTTTCTTTTTGGTTCAATAATTAGTAAATGCCTCGATTGAACAGCAAAACTTGTATCAACTCCCCACTTTGATCTCAAAATTTGCAGGGTTTATTAAACTTGTGCCATGCAATGATTAGGGTCCAGAACAATCAGTTGCAGAATCCACGGGGGTGTACCTGGACTGGAGAATTGAACCTGTCTTGAAGAATTATCGCTATTAAAGGCACTAATAGCACTCAATTCGAGCAATACCATTGTCTGATATGATCAACTTGGGCTTCCTAACTACTTGCTCCAAGCACTGGATGACGTCTCCAATCTGAAAATCATTACAGCCAAGGATCACAAGTCCACATTCATTTCCTTTCTCCACCAATTCCACATCATGCTTGCTAGTCTTTAGAGATGCACAGGGTCCTTCGAACACTTCTTCCCCACTCCTTAGAAGCCTCATGGTCGATGATTTGCTAAAATGGCCAACCACCACTCTGCAGCCAGCAATCTTTATATCACCTCCTGCAGACTTGCTCCTTCCTCTTAGCTCAAAGATGTTCAGCACTTCAGCCTCCCCAGCTACCTGGGTCTCGAGCGTCCCAGGGGCTTTGTCTACTATCAAATTGCCAACTTCATCCAATAGGTGATAGATCACTTGGTGCTGCATAATCTACAGCCAACCAAAGAAACAGTGGAAAATAAATAAGCTATCCTAGCTTGCAGCATATGCCATCATATTGTTCAGTAAAACATCAACCACCCATACCCAAGGATTACTCTCATATTCTCTGGCTGGTTAAAAATAACATAAATGATTAAGGATAGCAACAGAAGTACCTTTGTACCAGCTTGGATTGCAGCCTGACTAATAGAACTAGGTGGACTCTTCACATTGAACCCAACTATATATGCACCACAGGCTTGTGCCAGGTCCACATCAGACTGAGAAATAGGCCCAACACCAACATGGACCACATTCACAAAAACCTGACAGTGCAAATAATGGACATATTAGCTAGCAACGTGTCAGAAGACCATAAGCAATAAGCATAGCATTTTCAGGATACATTTTAGAAAGAACCAGTCAATCATGTTAAGGAAACTACTACCTTTAACGTTGCAATAACTATCACTAAACCATAGCAAGAAGTTGCAAATCAGAAAGAGAATCATAAAAACAATATTATGCATCATTTCAGGCATATGGCTAAACTATTTTGGTCTACCTGAGGGCTGTTTAAAGTCCTCAAGGCATCTGTGACAGCTTGGACAGTTCCTTGCACATCTGCTTTTACTATTAATGGCATTTCAGTCCTCTCGGGCACAACAGAGTCATCTTCTGATGGTTTGTTAGTTTCTGTCCTTTCCTCCATGATCTGCCTAAGCCTGTCTTTTTCATATTTCCTTCTCCTCCCTGCACTTAGCATTCTAGCTCGCTCCTCAGTTTCCACAACAGTAACATCATCACCAGCCATAGGAAGCCCCTTCAGCCCTTCAATAACAACTGGCATCGCTGGTCTTGCCCGCTCAGTCAGCTTCCCTGACATATCCCTAATAGCCCTTATTCTTCCCCACTCTGAGCCAACAACCACATGCTGCCCACAAACTAAAGTCCCAGCCTTCACTATAGCAGTAGCCAAAGGACCTCGTCCTTTGTCAAGTTTTGCCTCTACTACATAAGCTTGAGCATGACCATCAACACGTGCTTTTAATTCCATCATCTCTGCCTGAAGAAGTATAGCCTCCTCCAGGTTATCCAATCCAGTTTTTGTAACAGCGGAAACTTCAACTACCTGAATATCTCCACCCATTTCCTCAAGCAAAAAGCCTTCAGATGCAAGCTGGAGTTTGACTCTCTCAGGGTTTGCACTCGGTTTATCACATTTATTAATTGCAACTACAATTGGTACATTAGCTGATTTTGCATGAGATATGGCTTCAAGAGTTTGAGGCATCACCCCATCATCAGCTGCAACAACAAGCACAACTAGATCGGTGACCGCTGCACCTCTTGCTCGCATTGCACTAAAAGCAGCATGACCAGGAGTGTCAAGGAATGTGATTGATGCCCCTGAAGGCATGCTCACAACAAAAGCACCCAGATGCTGAGTTATGCCTCCAGCTTCCTTTGCTGCCACTGATGTTTGACGTAGAGCATCCAAAAGAGAAGTTTTACCATGGTCAACATGACCCATGACTGTTACAACAACTGGTCGGGGAAGAATTTCCGAACCTTCATTGGAGTGTTGCCTCCTGACATTGGCCCCAACTTCCTGCAAAAGTGAAATGACCAACAGTCAGTGAGTGAAACTCAATTTTCCAAAGCACCCACCTCAAAAATCAACCAAACATGGTTAACTTAGAAATGCAGGGGGGGGAGGAAGGTGGGAAGCCAAAAGTGCAGTTTAAATGCTAAAAAAAGAAACAAAGTAATAAAGGGGAAAAAAAGAAAAATCAAAGCATAATTTAGCATATATCACAAGCAAGGCAGATTTCAAATACATGTTGCCAATACTGTAATGCCAGGTGAAGCCAGAAACTAAAGCTAACGAATAAAAACAGCATACAAGTTAGTTGAAATCCTTTGGTACTACACTGCCATGTACACATGCAGGCATGCGCACATATAACTGCTTTTGGGTGAAAATGAGAAGTGAAAGTTCCTGTCAGTTGAAATTAGTCTTGATAGCAATTGGACATGAAAAACTCCAAACACTCTTGATGTTAATTAAACACAAAATGCTCCACACAATTATCGGGACTTGGGGAAGGGAAATACCATTACAACCAGCTCCGCAACATCGATCTTGAGGGGGTCAAATTCTGAGACAACCTTTTCCCCAAGATTAACAAGAAATTCCTGCAGAGTTATAACTGACTGACCAGTGCGCTTGGCAAGCTCAACAGTGGTCATGCCTTCAAATATGTCAATTGTTTTATCTTGCAAGGACTTGGTAATTCTTTTCAGTTTAGGAGGCACATATGGAGCATCAACTGGAGGTTTTTTGATCCTTTTGGCAAACTTCCCTTTCTTTTGTGTCTTCAAATCAACTCCTTGGTTATCATTTTTTCTTCTAGCCCACAGTTCTTGACTAGCGTGAAAGCACCTAAATGAGATATAGAGCCATGACACAATCCTACCATTCAGTAAATTTAAGCAGAATATTCAGGTATTCCAGAGCAGTAAACTTCACAGATTGTCTTCCAATTGCAATAAAAACCCCAATCGCTCTCTCACACACTCTCTCACACACGCTCTCCCTTAGCATACTTGACAAAAAAAGATGGAAAATGAAGCAAGAGAAAAGCATACAATCAATGGAAAAGATCAAGTTTTTTCTTCCACGAAGCAGGATAGAACTAAGGTGTGAAGTTATTATTTCATGCAACTATAAACTCCTTTCTTCCCTTGTTTTCTGAGAACTTAAAAGCTTTTATGAAGGAGCATTTGAACTTGGGACATTTTATTTAGAACATAAGTGTTGGCTAAGGTTAAGCTACGCCTTGACCACAAATTTCTCCTTTTCTTTTGTTCTTTGGATAATTTTAGGCCCAGGTAGATTAAGGCAGGGTTCAACTTAGGCTGTAGATCATGATGCCACAAGGTTTTATCACCTGACTATGTAAAATAGCCATAGAAGCCCACCAAACTTAACCTCAAATTACACTTCAATGCTAAATAGGGGGAGCATGCCCTTGAACTGTTAAATAGGTGAGCCTATCCTTAACCTGGTCAAGCCCAACCATAAATAAAAGAAAAGTGAAAAAGAAATGGTTGTTACAATCAACATATGTATTTCTACCATATGATATCTGTTGTCAAGTGCAATTTTCTAGTGATGAGGTAACAGAAAAGCAGCAATGTAGACGGTAATTAAAAACTGCGATCCTTGAAGCAAGAAAGAAAGATATGAATAAAACCTGATAGATGATTCTTTTGTAGTGTGATGACCAGACCCTTGTAGAAATGAGCTGAAAGAAGACTCTGCAGCACAAGATTGGATAAGTAAATGATGATATTAAAATCAATCTTTCAGGGGATGTAAAATTATCTCATTCCAATTCCCTGCACAACTAGCAAAAGCAGTAAGAACAGAGTACTAAAAGGCTTGGTGAAAGGGATGGAAGATTGATGGTTTGAAATGCAGATATTTGGAAGCTGCTTTCTTAACTGAACTAAGGGGTGAAAAGGTATTGCAGCTCGAGGAAAAGTAGAAAGGATGAAATAAGAATTCTATAAGCTGAAGGAATGCCAAGTAAACTACGAAAAGCACCCTGTGAAGCTGGCTCAGTTGAATTAAAGTTTGCAGAAAATATCTAATGTGAGATGATGAAAAGCATAAATGCAGTTTTGAATTACCAGGTATATATCTGACTGAAGCACCATCGAGACTAGTTCTTGAAGTTAACCCCACAGCATGCCCTAGTGATGGCGAAGTCAAAACTCTTGCGAGACCAACATCAATACCCTGCAAAAAGAATTCAGGTAAAACATCCTACACATAAGCAATTCAATATGGTATTCATGTAACTAAAGTCACTCCCTCGAAATATGAGTAAAAGTTTTCAGTTTTATGTTGGAAAAGGGAAACAAAGAAAGGGGAAGTTCTAGGCAGAAGATGCAAATGAGAAGACCAGAATAACCCAAAGTAAACAATGCCGGTTAAAAGCGGGTATAAGGTTACAACATTGGAAGACAATTAAGCTAACCAAGCAAAAACGACGCAAGCAATAGATCAAACCTTAAGATGCTATACATGGCGATATCATTTTCAACTCGAGACAAGAGGTATTCCTATATAACCTTGTAAAGGCTGTTGACTTTCACAATCCTCAACATTCAAATTTCACTGGAAACAGATAATTGAGGAAAAAAATACAGCAAGGAATAGAACAATAAGGTAAAGCATATCCTCTTACCCTTTTGCCAGCCGCTCTGCAAGCCATTCATAAGCCTCTAAATCTCTACAAAGACCAACAGATAAATGAAAAGGAGGTATATTTATAATACCAAAATTTAGAGTAATGGAACACAATTTTAGCCCGTCTTCGATGGAAAAGATCTAATCTTTCATCACTGAACACCACAAGTCACATAAATTGACAACACAATAAAGATAGAGTTGCGAGAGTTTAAATGAGCTATTTATGGGGTTAAAAAGGGAGGTTTTGGGCTTAAAGTTCGTCTTCGTAGCTGCAAACTTCGGTTTCGACTTCCGAGGTTTGCAAAGGTTGTGGAGAACAGATCGTGGGAGAGATGGTGCAAGGGTTTTTCCCTTGTTTTCTTGTAATTACTTTTCTGCCCTTATGCTTTTATTAAGATGAAAATGTAAATTCTTCTGTGTTTAGGGTAGTTTGCACCATTTTTATAACCATCTCAATTGACTTCAATTAAATAATTTTAATATAATTTTATGTTTGAGAATCTTCGTTAAATATTAAAAATTAAATTCCAAATGAAATTTGATTATTAAAAATACTATAAAAATAAATTGTAAATTAAGCTTTTTTATTTACAATTTTAAATATGAGAAATTTAATTTTGGAACTAACTTTCTAAAAAAACACATTTAGCCTTTTTAAAAAAAAATTGAAAAAATAAGATAAAATTAATATAAGAAACAAAATGAAGTGAATTTTATTTCTTTCAAACATGTGAATTTAATTTATTTATAAATTGAATTCAAATCAAACATTATAATTCAATAATATAATATAATATAATTGATTCCAGATAACTTGTTAGTATTTCAGTATAATAAATTCATTTTTTATTATAATTTTGAAAAAAAATTATATATTTTTAAAAGAAAAAAATGCGTTAAATTGAAGGCAAGCCCAAATTTTTTCTAGCATGAAAAAAGATGCTAATGCAACACAAACATTTCTAAAAATAAATCTAAGACTTGGTTAATTGATTCAATTGAATTTAATAAACTTAATTAATTTAAATAATAACTAAATAAATAATAAATAAATAAACTAGAAAACAATTGACAACATTAAAAAACTACAAAGCTTATCAAAAGTAAATTAAATGATACTATTAAACTCAATCATCAAATAACTCAATATTGAAAGATAAACTAAAACAAATATAAAAAAATAAAAATAAAATATAAGTCAATTTAGGTTAACTCATTAATTTTGCAACCCTATGTACATAATTAGAATAACTAATTGAAAGAAAAGTGGAAAAAAAAAACATGAAGACAGGAATTAAAAAAAAAATCATCTAAAACAAAATTAAAGTCAACTTATGTTATCCTAAAAAATAATGCAGCAAAAATTTAAACTAACAAAATGACGATGGTTAAAATTGAAAAAAAAATATAATGAAAAAACTCAAATCAAATAAAAAAAAGGTGCTAAATTTAATATAAAAATAATTTAAAATAAAATATTAAGAGATGAAATTAAAAAAATAAAAATAAAAAATTATATCTTGCAGGTAAATTATGTTAAATTTATTTTTGTTAATCTTGTGCATTTGTTGGGTCTAACCTGAGGAAATGCAGTGGCAATGACTGTGATCAGAGACAGAGGTAGTTAAATTTGTGTTGTTTAGGAGTTACCAGCGGTTGAGATGGAATTGGCTGCAGCAAGTTTCAAAGAAATTGGTCGAGAAGTGTGACCAGCATTCTAAGGAAAGGATTTTAGCTGCTAATGGTATTATTACAATGATTGGTCGAAAGAAGAAGAGGAATGCTACTAGGAAGGCGTGGATGCCTACGTACAGGTAAAATTAATTGATTGGCTTGGTGCGTGCTTGTCAAAAAACTTTAAGTGTGATTGGTGGTAGTTATTGAGATAGGTATTGGATTTCTTGTCATGGAAGTCGGTGAAAATTAAGCCAACTCTAGAAAAGGACCTTATAGGTTATTGTTTATTCATGTGAACAATTGAATCACAAATGGTTGGAATGTTGAAAATAGAAACAAGAAATAAAGCATGGCAGCCTATAATCTTCTGTACAGATGCCCTGGAAGCAACCCTTTCTACCCACTTGGATAAACATGGTGCTTATATCGGGTGTATGAAATCTGGTGAAGTTTTTTCTGAGCCGTGAGTTTGATCAAAAAAATGCATCCAGCAATAACTTATTTATTGGCCGAGAGAATAATGTTTCATTAATGTATATTACCTGGAACCCTGATATTATATGCATTTGACAGGACCCACAAATGGTATGATCCAGACTGGTGGAAATTCGGTGATGTGAAATTGTAAGTAATACAACGTTGGTTTTGCCTTATTCCTCGTGATTGATTATATTTATGCTCTTTATAGTCTGCTTATATGCACGTCAAGGTAAGCTTGCCTTCTGATGGTTTGTTCTGGTCTCGGTAGAAAAATACCTCCTCTGTTATGGCTTTCATAAATCCCATAGTGGTTCTTCATCAGTGTCTGCTATACTTTCTGAACTTTGTCCCACCAGATGTATTTAAATGATTAGTTCTTCAAAGTAAGGATAATAAATATGGTGCAGATAAAGCATGCACTGCCAGTTCTTCAAATATGTAGATAAGAAATCTCTTTATGGTGAGATCTACGCCAATTCACGTGCTTTGGCTCAGTTTATTCCAGTTAACAGGTGGTTTATTTCTCACTTCTTATCTAATGCTCATGATAAAAGACCGTGTATGGCTTCGATGAGTCAACCACTTATTTTGTTTTTACAGGTCCATTTTCCGTAAATATGCCCATGATGATGTCAGTACTGGATCATGGTTCATTGGGCTTCAAGTAAAGCATGTTGATGAATCAAAATTTTGCTGCTCCTCATGGTCCACAGGTTTCTCTCTCCGTGTGATTGTCTCTGTTTGTGTGTGTAAAAACGAATTTACTTGATGGAGTAGCAAGAAAAAGGCCATATTAACTGTAAATGCCAGGGGGAACTTTGAAAATTTAGTTACTTAACGGGAATTGTTGAGCGTATTGACTTATTTTTTATTATTTCTCTTTCATATTTCAAATTCAGGGTCAATATGTGCAGCTGTGTGATTGGATCTGCCTTGCTAGCATTCTACCTGAATCTAATATATAACAAAGAAGGCCGCGTTCAACATGTATCAAGGAAGGTTTCCCTCTTCTCTTTTCATGCACCCTCTTCCAGTCTTTCTGGTTCCCAATGACAGACTTCTGGTGAGAGTTGATCCTGATAGCATCAAAATTGTGAAATTGTTGATAGAAGAGGTATTGACAATAACATCTGCGTATAAAAAGCTAGTTTAGAGTTGTTCAAACCACTGGACGTGAGCCATATATAGAATCCATGAAGATTTTGTAAACAGCAGGATATGTTTTTTCCGGAGATGTCTTGTAATAGCCATGTAATCCAAGTCCATTTTTTATTTTTTATTATCAAGTTGACAGTTATCCTTCAGCCTATTAAAGAGACTCTTTTGGATTTTTTTAACTGAGAAGCAGATTCGTTTCGTATTTAGGAAATTAGAACCATGCTTATTTTTTTCCGTCGTTACCTGTATTAACCGGTTTATCATCCATAGTAAGAATGTTCATGAGTTGGCTTCTGAAAACGTTTTATGTCAAAATTAGAGGAAAGGCTTTTCCTTGTAGTTATCCATAATCACTGCTACAGTCGTAGCTGGGAAAAACACAATTGGGACAGCAAGAAAGATGGTCTCAATTGAGAATGGAAATTGATTTGGTGAGCCTTAAGACAATTTGAAATGGAGTTGGACTCAAATTTGTTGATCTGTCGCTGCAGTATGGATATTATATCTAATTATATGCTTTGTTGAAGGGATTTCTATCATAGTTCAAACCATTTCTTTGTGTCTACTTTTGGTTGTCAATGCTGCAGAACCGTAATTCCCAAGAGCATTTTCACTAGGTGGAACACGCAACATTTTAGGATTTTTTAGAAAAAAATTAGCACAATTACCTTTAAATTTTGATAGATTAACATATTTTTTAAAAAAATTGGTCCGGCTGATTGTATTGTCCTCTAGTTTATATAAAAATATAATTAATGTTGTGGTTTAATCATGACATTAATTAAAATTTTATTATGCTCCCCAACTATAACATTAATTTAAATATCATGGTTGTAAAAACCGATATGAGTTTTTCAGCAACAGCATGTAAACGTTTTCACAATTCACCATTTATTTTAAGAATATTGTGTTAATTGCCGAATTTGTACAAAATTTTGTTTTTCAAGGTTTGTTTGACTTTAGAGTGATTGAGCTCTGGCACGATTAGCTTCCATGTCCAAGGTTTGATTCACACCTTGCCTTTTAAAGGGTTCTGGGATATTTCCTCATGGTCGGAGGATTAATAACTGGTCTGGTGGTGAGGTACACCTACCAAAGAAGAAAAACTAGAGAGATCCCGCACGAAGCAAATCTTGAAAGTGAAACGAAGCCTAGCAAAGAGAGATGCATTGTATTTCTTATGTATGACATGAAAAAGACAACACAGCCATTACCATGTCCGAGACATTTCCAACAGCACTTCCAGGAAAGAAAAACGCGGAGAACTGGCTAGACTTTGTCCACCTTTGAAATTAGGTAGCAGCTGCAACCTTGTTTGAGGGTCTAAGCTTCCTTCCGTGGGTCCCCGTTTGAGCTTGTAACATGGCATATCTACCTTCTCCAACCTCAAGATCCATGTCTGCTGACTTGTACTCTTAGGCATCGGATTGATTTCCCTTTAAAAGGGTTACATTTGTTTAAAAAGACGGTGCATTTTATTCTAAAACTCAAAAACCTTGGCTGGGCCTTCTTTATATATATAAACAAAAAATAATAATTATAATTTGGTGCTTGTAATAAATACAGTGGTCATTGCGGATAAGCTTGCAAGGAAAAATTGTGGAGCTAATCATCTTGTTCTTCGGCTTTGCTGTGGGCTGTTGCTGTAATGATATTATATTAAATATTTGTTGTTATGAGTTGATTTGAACAGGGAAAATGGCAGAGGCATTGACAGCCAAAGATCGTAAAGGACAATTCTCAATGATAATTTTATTCCATGGCCAGCTTTAACGAGTGGAGTTGCTTGGCTTGTTCTCTAATAGAATTTTATTTTGTCATATTAATTTATTGCATTATTTTTACTCCGTTCTGGTTGAAAATGAAAATTTAAAAACAGAATATTATTTAAGGGAAGAAGAGAAGAATCATAAAGTCTAGTCCAGGAGGCCAAAACTTTGAATATTCCACAAAATCTTTCGAATGGTTAGTTATTCGTTAATTCAGTTATATATACATGTTCATGGTCTGTTGATTCAACTCGAGTCCACATCAAAAGTTTCGAATCCCAACAGATCTAACACATCATCTCCACGCTAGAAACACATGGATGTTAAGTCCTCCTGTACATACTCTTAGACTTTTTCTTTTTTATATCATCTTGATTCCTTCTGTATTTTATTATCTGACGAGGATTCTTTTGTCTACAGCCCTTCAAGGTTTCTTTAATACAAAGACGAGGTCATACCAAACCAGTCCCTTTTTTTTTTTTTTTTTTTTTTTTTTTTTTTTTTTTTTTTTTTTTTTTTTCTTTGTGTGTGTGTGTGTGTGTTTCCTTCAAGAAGTTGTGATCCATTCTTGAGTCTTGACCCTTTACAAGCTGTTCGGCATTAAATACTGTACTGTTGTTCCATATTACCATTAATTGTTTTTTCCTTCGAAATTGGCCAATAGAAAAAAAAAAAAAAACATATCAGTTCAAACTTTGGACTTTTGTTGATTGTTGGAAGGTTCTCATTTTTTGAACCTTTTTCGGTTGAAAAATTAGACAGTTTGGTCATCTGGGGCGGCGTTCAGTTTTTTTGGAATTCAGCTTTGTCTTATTGGTGTCTTTTTGAAAAGAGTTTGATGCAATTTTGAGTTATTGGTCCATATCTAATTTCTTTTTTGATCAGTTGAGAGGATTTCATGTTGTCCACAATTCTAATGGGGGAAAGTGGAAACTAGTTAGGGTTTGTTGTGATTTTGCTTTCCATTCACGGGAGATAAGGTTTTTTCACAAGAAACCTGTTCAGATCCTCAACTACTTCAGTAACTGCTGAGCTTCTTTATCAAGTACTTAATCACTATTGGTTTGGGTATTTGACCAGAGAGAAAGAGAGATTGAGAGACAATATTGTGCTGTTGTTTCTTGAATTTTGCATCCTTAATTTTGTTTTTACACTATGAATCGTTCTGGGACAGCCGACCTGAGAGCAGCAACAGCTGTCGAAGTTACAAAGGATAGAAATGGAGTCGATCAGGTTGTGCTTCGAAACCGGCGAGGGTCGTCAGCTCGGGTCAGTCCAATTGCCTCATGCTCTTGTTTATTGGTTAACTTAATTTGTCTAAGCTGAGAAAAGAAATGACTGCACTGATACAGTCAGATGGAAACTATCATTTTTGGTGATTAGACGTTATGCAAAATTGCAATTCTTTCTTGAGTGGATCTTGATTTATTGTGTGATTGTGTATTCAGGTTAGCTTGCATGGAGGACAGGTTCTCTCATGGAGGACTGACCAGGGTGAAGAATTGTTATTCACCAGCAGTAAGGTAAAATCGTAGGGTTGTATTTGGCGGCTGTTACATATTTCTTAGGTTATAGTAATGTTTAATCTGTGTCCTTAGTTTCTCTGTTACTGGTGGTTTTTCTTTGATCGCGTGATAATTGTTTTCTTTTTGTTTACTGCAGGCAATTTTCAAGCCACCAAATCCAGTGAGAGGAGGAATCCCCATTTGTTTTCCTCAGGTATTTTGAGGTTATGTCATGTCAATCAATGACATGCCATTCTTGGAGATCTCTGACTAATAAGTTGCTTCGATTTGTGTGTTAAGTTTGGAAACTGCGGATCGCTGGAGCAACATGGGTTTGCAAGGAAGAAAATTTGGGTGATTGACCAAAATCCACCACCATTTTTACAACACAATGATTCCAACGACAAAGTCTATACTGATCTACTACTTGAGCCATCTGAAGAGGATCTAAAGATCTGGCCACATAGGTATGACCTTTAACAGCTGCATATCCTATTGATAAATCCCAGATGAGATCATAAGATGGCAAAGCCATCCTCGGATAATATTCAACTGAACTTCTGGAGTTTTTTTTTTTTGTTAATTTGGTATATCCCTTCAGTTCGTTTACATGTTATTAATTAATCAACAGAAGGGTCAAATGCCTGCACCAGATGTCTGCATACTTTGGCATCAATGTTGTCATTGCACACAAGGTTAATTGACTTTTCTGTGGCCTACTCTTTTCAGTTTCGAGTTTCGGCTAAGGGTGTGTTTGACTGTAGAAGGGAATCTAACCATGATATCGCGCATCAGGAATATCAATTGCAAGCCATTTAGTTTTTCAATTGCTTTCCATACATATTTCTCCATCTCAGATATCAGGTACATGAAAATTTCAGTGGTTGGTTTTTTCGTATGTGGTTGTCGTGGAATTAGACATGTTCTGCATATTGATATGCCTTGTGAAAACTGTTTAAGACTCAAGAAATACAAACTTCTATTCTTCAAAGAAAGGCTCCTGTCCTTCTAAACTCTTTTATCCCCAAGATTTATGTACCTACTAGTTCGTTTACTTCTCTAAACCACCTCAGTATGCTTCCTTTTTTCTCGGACTCCTCAAAATTCAATTTTACAGACAAGAACTTTCTTAGCTTCTAGGAATTTATCATTGTGGTTTGTACTCGCTAGGTTCATTATGTATGATACTTGTCAGCTTTAACCTGAGTAGTGTCATGGTTCAATGCTTATCAGCTTCATTGGAGGCAAACAAGTGTATGTATTTTCAATTTCCTTTTCATGCTAAATGACAATATTGAGTTAACAGTGAAGTAAGAGTAGAGGGGTTGGAAACTCTTGACTATCTTGACAACCTTTTCCAAAGAGAGCGCTTCACAGAACAAGGAGATGCCTTGACATTTGAATCTGAGGTAATACATCTTCTAAACAGCCATTTGAGTTTCTCACAGCTTCTGGGCTGAGCTGAGAAAAGTATTTCCTGATTTGCAGGTGGATCGTGTTTACCTTAGTTCTTCAGATGTGATTGCTGTTTTTGATCATGAGCAAAAGAGGACATTCACCATACGAAAGGAAGGACTTCCAGATGTTGGTAAGTTTATTTTCCAACCTTCAGATCAACAATACAAGTGTGTCCATGGCAAGTTATCGTTTTCTTTCTCACGATTAGTAATGATTCTATGACACTACACGTTTCATTCTGTATTGAGGGATTGAGCCACTTTTGATCACTTGTCTCTGCTTATAAATAGTGGTTTGGAATCCATGGGAGAAGAAATCCAAGTCCATGGTAGATTTTGGAGATGAAGAGTACAAACAGATGCTTTGTGTTGATGGGGCAGCAATTGAGAAGCAAATTACATTGAAGCCAGGTGAGGAATGGACAGGCAGGCTAGAGCTCTCTGTTGTGCATTCAGGATGATGAAGTTGCTACCCTCTTGAAAAATCGTTGATTAAAGGCATAGTATACAAATAAGCCACTTAATATTTGCTTGCTGGCTCGTACGATTATACAAATATTTATTTCATTCTGTAGTTCTTGTGCAGAAAATAAAACCCATAGTCACTAATTTCTGATGTGGTGGCTGGTAGTCTGAGTGGAGATATTTGTTTTATTGTTTCTCCATTGTAGCAATCACCAAAAAATTATGTGCATCAAACATTTGTACCCCCAAGAATTGTATATACTCAATTATAAGATTGTTTGGTTACTTCCCTGGATTTTCCTTTTTTAGTGGTGTGTTTGTTAAATTAATTTCTTTGTGCTTTTTCTCATTTGTGCATGATGTTTTACTAAGCAAAAATAAAGGATGGTTTATGTAATAAGATACAGAATGAATCTAAACGTGGCCCCGACTATTTTTTATAAAAAACAATGTGTAGATAATAGAAGCATATTTACCAAAAAAAAAACTTTATGATTTGGATTATAATTTTTACTAATCAAATATACTAGTTTTATTTTAACAAAATGTAAAATATAAGTAGGTAAAGATAATAAAAAGACCAAAAAAAATTGACCATGATACCTTGGGAAGAAAAAAAATTTCAAGAGGAAAAAAAATAATGTTGTTTAATTTTTAGCTAACTAAATATAAAATAAAAAAACTAAATAAAAAAATAAAATTTTATTACAAGTCAATATGAGTTGGTACGATAGACACATAACATAAATAATATAAAATGAGGTAATTCAAACTAACTAGTCAAATTTATATCTAAAATCATGAAATTAAGATAACTTAATAAAAAAATCATAGAAAACCACAAAATAAATTATAAAATTGATGTCAAACATTGATATCAAAAAAGAAAATAATTCAAAAAAAATCAATTCCCATTAACTTTTTAAACTCATGATTCAAGTCATTAGACTAACAGCATCATATATATATATATAAACATAAATCCAATCCTCAATAAATCAAACATTTAAGAATAAAAATAGGGGGGAAAACAATCAAACAAAATAATAAAAAATAAAAAGAATAAGAATAAAAAATAAATTAGAATACAACTATAAATTTTTTATTCAAGGAAGAAGTTGAAAAAAAATAACTTTAATAAAAAAATAAGGGCCAGGAAAACAATCAAACAAAATAATAAAAAATAAAAAGAATAAGAATAAAAAATAAATTAGAATACAACTATAAATTTTTTATTCAAGGAAGAAGTTGAAAAAAAATAACTTTAATCAAAAAATATAATATATCATAAATTTGAATTATAGGATAAAATTAAAAACTAATAAAGCCTTTACAAAATAACCAAGAAAAAAATATAAATCAAAAGAATAAGGATTAAATAAAAAATATATCTATATATATATGATAAATTAAAATTGAATGATGCAATTAAAAATAAATAAAAAATTTAAAAAAAGAGAAAAATTAGAATTTAGAAAGAAAAAGAAAAGGTTTAAAATTGAAATAATAACAAAAAAAATAAGTTATAATTTTTTTAAAAAAATATATAAAACAAAAAAAATTCGCTAGTAACAAACTACTTTGTCAATGCTAGCATATGTCATGCCAACATGAAAGGGATATGGTGGCTCTTTAAGCAATATAATAAAAGGATATTTTTTATTATTAAAAAGCTTTATATGTATTAACCATCTTTTCATTGAAATAACAATAAATTGTTATTAAAAGATTAAAAAAATTGAAGTGAAAAGAACCAAAGGCCTCTGGGTGTATGGTTTATTTTTTTTATTTAAATGATAAAATTATTTTTTTATATTTTAAAAATAAAAAGATGTAAACACCTCCAACTTTAAATTTTTTAACTTGGGGTAGTTAGATAATTTTATCATGTTTATGAAATTAAAAAAATATACTTTTTTTATTCTGGATAATCCTTTAATGACTAATAGGTCAAGTGAAAGAATTAAAATATCTTTAAAATAAATTTTAAAGATATTTAATTTTTTTTAAATAAAAAAATAATAATTACACCATAGCCATAAAAAAAAAATATGATCATAGTGAATTTACTTTCCATTTTAATTTTTTATTATTATAGCCAAACCCTAGTTAATATTCAAATAGAAATACCTTATATTATGTTATACTTTGAAGTTTGAAGAGTGTTTATATATATATATATATATATAAAGAAGCAAAAGATATAAGCAAAATAGTTTAAAATAGATAAACTACGTTTTAGCTTTTATAGAATTATTGAGTTTTAAGATTATCATAAAAGAAGACAAAAAAGACCGTTAACCCATTATAGTTTAAAGTTTGTCGGCGTAAACACTAATGTAAGAACTAGCTAATTGACTTGTTCTTTATCATAGAAGTATGCTACCTTTAATTTTCCTTTATGTAAAAAAAGAGTTTGAAACTACAAATCATATGCTACTGTATTTTCATATGGTTTGGAATTTATTGTCACGGTTGGTATATTGGTTGAGTTAACACAACCTCATAGATATTCTATATTATCAGGTTAAATATTTTTATTTATATTTAATTTTTAATTTTTTAAGTTATCAATAATGAATTTTTAGTTATTTATTTATACAAATAATTATCTATTTATTTTAATTAGATTCTTGAATAAGCAATTTTGATTTACACATGTAATGTTTTATGTATAAAAAACATTGCAAAAGCTTGCATATTTATTTTTTTGTTGAAAAAAATACAAACTGCAATGAAATGATTAATCAAAAACTAAATTAAAATTAAAATATAAATATAAATCAAAATATGTATTCTTGTATTGTAGGGAGCTATTCAATCTTTTTCATATATAATTGTTTGTCAACAATGTTTTTATAAGAAAAGTAATAATTTAAATTCTATTAAAATAAAATAATTTACTAGTATATTCTTCTTTATAAATATTAATCTATTTTTCTCAACTAAAAAATGTAGTTTTTTTAGCAATATACTTCATTTAATAAAATATAATGTGTGATTAGACTGAAAAAAGGATGAAAAAAGAATTTCTTTAATTAAAACCTCTTCATTCTGTTAAAGTTGTTTCTCTTTTGACAATTTGTTTATCATAATATCTGTTTTTTAAAAGCAAAATGATACAATAGAATTATAGAAGCAAAATTTAATTAAAAAAAAATGTTTTCATTACTATGTCGTGGAAGTATTGGAAAATATAAGTATGATACACTTGGGTTTTTTTAAGACTTTTCTTCTATGTAATTATGCAATAATAAAAAATAATTGCGCAGAAAAACCAAAAAAACATTATAAATAAAATTTAAATCACAAAGGGTTGTATAAAAATGCACTCAGTAATTTTATTAAAAAACATAATATTATTTTCAAAATTTATATTTTTAATTTATTTATTTTCATGAAAGTTAATCAAAAGAAAAGAAAATGACACAATGGGATGAATACACAAAGGCCAAGCACCTCAGCTGGGTAGCTCGGTGCACCTTTCTCATTTAAAGGAAAGGGCATCCACGCGTGCTTGCTCCTTTCGTTTTTTTAATTTGGAAAAAGGAGTCGATGAAATGAAATATCATCCCTTTAATTTGAAAAAACAAATGACATGTGATTCACTTGTCAAATTTTTATCTTCTAGAAAAGTGATTGAAAAATCATATTAGAGTTTTTTATATTCAAATATTTAATTTTTTATATATTTTTATCTAAAAACACTGACAAACATTGTTATTAAAATAGTAAATTAATCTCTCAACTTAAAATATTTATAAATTAGTCTACAAGTATAAAATCAAACTGGAAAATTTTTTTATCTCTCAATCCCTATCTACTTTTTGGACAAAATGAAAGTTTAAAAATATTAAAATTAATTTTTTTTCATTGAATCGAACTTATTAAAATTAAAATTAGTTTTTTTATTGTCAAAATATACCAGCTAATAATATTTTATTTCCTTCATCATTCATTTTTTGACAGTTTCTCCCCCTCCTCTCAAACATATAAACTAAAAAATAAATAAAATAAACTTCAAGATTAAAATTAAAATTTCAAAATCTTAAGGAACTAAATTAGAGGAAAAAGGAAAATAGATAAATTGAAAAACACTTTTTTTATGAATTTAAGATTAGTCACTTGTTTTCACTATGTTTTACATTGTAGTTATCTCTCTTTTAATTTTATATTTTTATAATTTAAAACTTTATTTCATGAAATTAAATCGTAAAGTAATTCAATTAAACAAAATAAATATGTACTCTTTCGTTGAACGAAACTCGTTGAGACTAAGATTGAATTTTTTTTGTTATCATGATGTGACCAACCAACAATTTTTTTTTTTTAACGAGTTTCTCTCTCATCTCTCAAATATAAAAATTAAAAAATAAATAAAATAAACTTCAAAATAAAAAATAGATAGAATGAAAAGCTATTTTTTCATGAATTTGAGATTGGTCACTTGTCTTCTCCATGTTCTATATTGTGGTCTTTTTTCTTTTAATTTTATCCTTTTACTATAATTTAAAATTTTATCTTACGAAATTACCTTACAAAATGATTTAATTAAACAAAAATAAGTACGTATCCTTTATACAATCCTTTTAGTATCGCAGTTAATATTATCAAAAGTTTTTACATACATTTGACACTATCTAATATTGGTTAATACATTTATTCAAGGGGCACGGAAGCTTTAGATTTAACGTTGAAATTAAGAAATTCTAAACTTCAGTGCCCGAAGTGAAACATTTTAAATTTACAGGGGTGAAAAAATGAACACCCCTGTGTTAAGTCAAAGAAAATTAATGGCCAAAGAAGCTACTCTGTTATCAGAGCCAGGTTTCGATCCTGGGACCTGTGGGTTATGGGCCCACCACGCTTCCGCTGCGCCACTCTGATCCACTGTACACATTGTTTTGCAGGTTATATTTAAACAAAGTTAGTGCCGGTAGATTTTTCCTTGTCGGCTGTGGCCTGGACAGATGCCCTTCACCTATTTAGGCTATCTATGTGTACCGAAAGCCAAGGAATTTGATAGATTGCATTTCATGATAATACACGATGGACATCAAGATAGAGCCCAAAAAAGGGCTATTCTTAAGGATGATAATGTTGGAATATTTTAATTATAGTTTTTCTTTTTAAGATTTTTTTGTTTTAAAATATACTTTTTATTTTAATATATGAAAATGATCTGAAAATATTAAAAAAACTTTTAAAGCACAAAAATGAACAAATTATACATCTCTACATGTAACCGCAAGAGTCCTAATACTTCAATCTAAGAAAAAAGAGGGTGCTAATACTTGCTACATCAA